AGCCGGCTGCCTGTGGGAGGGTTTGGCCGGTCCCGGCTGTGGCCAGATGTCCTAATAAATGCTTATAAATATCTGCAGGATGGGGGTCAGAACGGGGTCAGACTCTTTCCAGTGGTGCCCAGCGACAGGACAAGGGGCAACGGGCACAAACTGAAGCCTGGGAAGTTCCAGCTGAACCCGAGGAAGAACTTCTTCCCTCTGAGGGTGACGGAGCCCTGGCCCAGGCTGCCCAGAGGGGCTGTGGAGTCTCCTTCTCTGGAGATATTCCAGCCCCCCCTGGACAAGGTCCTGTGCAGCCTGCTCTGGGTGACCCTGCTTGGGCAGGGGGTTGGGCTGGGTGACCCACAGAGGTCCCTTCCAACCCCCACCATGCTGGGATTCTGGGATTCTGCATTTTCAGCAGCGTAAATCGAGCAGCAGCACAGGAAATTTCTCGGGACGTGCTCACTTCACGTGTGGGTGTCTGAAAACCCCCCCTGCATCAGCTCATCGAAGGGGTTCCGTTCCCTTCGTCGTTTGCCACAGCTTCTCCGTGCCTCCACAGCAGCGCCTGGGCACACTGCGGGGTTATTTTTAGAGCAATTCCCGTTTTTAAAATCTGTCTGGCGAGTCACTGGCTGAACGCCTGCCTCTGGCAGTTATTTTTCTTCCCGCTGTTTCGGTAGATAAACAACAAAGAGGTCGCGGTGAGATTTTCCCTGCGCTAGGTCCTCGGCTGATAGAAAGGAAATGCGATTCCTTATCACGCTACCCCATTTCCCAGGCACGAGAAGCTGCGCGTGGCAGTCGTTTGCCTGAAAACATTTCACCTCTTGGAAAACGAACGCGATTTCCGTGGGCTTCTACGACGGAGAGAGACGATGTTCTGGAGGCGTCGGACGGGGACGGCGACCCGAGGGACGTCCCCGGGCCAAGACAGCCGGCGCAGCCGCCACCTCCTAAGACGACTCCTCACCCTCCTCTTTCCTCTCCTTGTTCTTCGCCTCCTTCTTCTTGTCCAGCTTGTACTTGAGGCAGCGGATGCGGTCGGTGAGGCTTCTCCCAGTCCAGTTGTCATAATCCTCTGCCAAGAGAAAGTTGCGGTCGCCCAGCTCGGCAGCCTCCTGCCAGCTGCGGAAGCAAGCGGGCCCCGCGCGCTGGATCTCTTCCACGGCGTTTCCGACGATCACCTCCCCGTTCGGCTTCAGCACCACCACCGCCGGCACCTCGGTCACGGCAAAGCGCAGCTCCAGCTCCCTGCAAGGAAAGGGGGCAAGAAACCTCCAGTCGGGATGGGCGTAGGGATCCTCGCCGCTCCTCATCCTCACCAGACGGTGGGACGCCCGCAGCTGTCCTTGCGGAGTTACACACACCCTACTTACTGATCATAACCCGCTCGTTTGCCCGTCGCTGATAATTAAAGCCTGGTGCAGATCTGAGATCTGAGCCGGCAGCGTGCCCTGGGTGCCAAGAAGGCCAACGGGATCCTGGGGTGCATCAAGAGGAGTGTGGGCAGCAGGTCAGGGAGGTTCTCCTCCCCCTCTGCTCTGCCCTGG